CTATAATGACTTTTAAACAGGCCTTTAAAGTTTTATAGACCTCCTCTCTCTGTGACACACACACACACACACACACACACACACACACACACACCACTAATTCTCAGAGACAGTTTTACAGCAGCAGTATTTGATTTGCCCATTGGTGTGTATTTTTGTCATTAGGAGAAACAGAGCTCTGTAGGTGGAGATAAGAAAGGAGACATGTCCTCCTGCCCACAGCCATGACACAACTCTTAGTTTGGCTTATTTCTTTAAACATTGTTGAGTTATCTGCTGTCAGCAACTCTCAGTGTGGCTTTCACATTGACGTCCGCCTCGACTGATCAGTGACAGTGTCACATCAGAAAAGACCATGAGCTGCATGTTGGATGAACAGTAAACTGGAACTATTGCTTAATGTTAAAGGTCCAGTGTGTTAGATTGAGGGGCTTTAGTCTTGTGGTGAGGGCTGCAGGAGGTTCAGGAGGTGTTTACCAGGAGCTGAATCATCCTCAGAGGTCTCCTCCTCTCAGAAACAAACACACCAGCTGATTTACACCAGGAAAAACACTGCATGAAGACGTTTCATGTCACAAATCAGTGTTTCTCTGATGGTATTCATTGCACAGCAGCAGCTAACTGTGGCAGCCAACACAACAGCTGAATGTCTCTATCTGGAGTCAGTGTTAGGTTTGTCCTTTTTGGGCTACTGTAGAAACATTAAGGTGAACATGGTGATGTCAGTAGACGAGGAGCTGCTCCGTGTGCAGATATACACGGCTCATTCTGTGGTAACAAATTTTCAGGTGATTCCAAACTAAAGAAAACATACATTTTATATTATTTTCCATTTCTGCTGAGATATCCCTCCTCATGCTGCTCTGGAGCTTTAAAAGAAGTTAGAAAATTTCTTAATTCACCTATCTGTATTTGTAAAGCATAATTAAATATTATAGTCTATTATATTTCTACTGTGTAACAGTGATGTTAAAGGTACAGTTAGTCTCTGCAGCACTGCCTTAACTCTGCAATACTGAGTGATAATTGGTGCATTAATTCAACTGCTGCAGTATTCTTTAGTATATTAATTTATTCTCACGAACACCTTTTGAATGTCTATATTTATTTAACATATAATGCACATAACTGTACATATTTCTAATGTTTATTCTTATTCTTGTGTTTATTCTATAAATGTATATATAGTAGTAACCATTACATCATAATATATATTTTATATTTCTGAACGTAACACTAGTTTCTACAGTTTAATGTAGAACAATGCACATATTTTTACACAATTACAGACTCAGTGTAGTGAAGATATTTTTATTCTTAATATCTTAAGTATCAGTGTTAACTTCGTAGCATAATGCACACTTTCATTTCTATTTTATTTTATTACTTTATAGTTACGCACTTCTTTTTCATACTCTTAATCTTACTTCTATAATCCTCTGTTCAGTGAGTCGGAGCGACTAACAAATCACAGTTTCCCCTCAGGGATCAATAAAGTATTTGTGATTTTGACTGATTTTAGAAAATCGCTTTATATTAAGCTCCTAAACTTGATGTCTGTGGATAAACACTTCTTGTAAACATCTTCTGATACATCTCATATCAAAATGACATCATCACTAACGATGCTGTGAAAGTGGAGGATGGAAAGACGACGTGTGTGTGACGTCAGTGCTCATCAGTAAAAACATGGAAGCTATCTGGTGTACAGCTCACCCACTGGGCGACACCTTGATGCTAATGAAAAAATGAAGAACCACGAGCCGCCTGCAGAGCGATGTCTCTGTGCTGCACATTTAAAACACGTGTTTGCTCCTGTTGGTGTCACCTGCAACACTTTAAAGACAGCGAGCTGAGTGAGGTATATAGCCATAACACATCCCACTCAGTACATATCTGCCTGTTTGTTTTCATGTTCATTGTTGTTTAACCAGTGGAGTCAGTGACGAGTTTTAAAAATGTTAAGTGTTTATGTTTTACAGCCCACAATGTAAGAAAAAGCAAGAACATAAGAAATAAACTTCAACACGCAAGTTAAAGGAGCCGACAGGATCACACTTCACTGGAACTGTGGAGGATTTCATGTGACATACAAATCAATAAATAAATGATTGATTGAAAAAAGGATTGGATTTTTAATGTCTCAAATATGGAGTTTAGCCTCAAAACACAGAAAGAATAAATTTACTTTTGCTGAATGAATCTGCGTGTTTGGAATATACTCCAGAGATAATTCAAACGTGCAACTCTACTCTGCAGGACAGGAGGGACGTTGTCCTTTTCAGGTTGTTTCTATAATTTATTTTGCCCATGTTCAACATATGTAGAGAAAAATTACTGATTTTTCTTTCATAGTTTTATAAATGAAACCAGGAGAGACGGAGGAAGGAAGTGAACGAAGGAAGGAGGAGGAAGAGGAGAGTAATTGATGATCTTGTCAGAGAGACCTCTATAAACTTCAGCCAAGATTAAATGATCCGTAATATGTGTGTGTGTGTGTGTGTGTTTGCGTAGTTGTGTTTGTGTGAGTGTGTGTACACGTGCGATTTTATGAGTGTGTGTACCTGGCAAACGCAACTGGATGTGACAGTGTGTTTTTATGAGTGTGTCTGCACTGTGTATTTCATGTGTACGATCTGTGTGTGTGTTGTAAGTGTTAAACTTGTTGCAGTGTTTTTTTGTGCCTGGCTGTGGGTGTGTGTATGATGCAGTTAAATACTCTATACTGTGTGTGTGTGTGTGTGTGTGTGTGTGTGTGTGTTGGCTGTAAAGGTAACAATGAATAGACTTCATGTTTTTGTCCGCTGAGGCTGAAAATCTTCACCAGGGGACACAAACGTTCTCATAAATACCCAGAAAGATTCATCGTGCTCCAACTCAGCTTTTTACTTCAGCTGTTGTTTCAACTGTAAAACAATAAAATGTGTGATCAAATACACTATTTAAAAAAGTAGAAATATATAGTTTAAAGTTAAGGGATTTAACTGTGAGGAGAAGTTGTGTTTGTTTTAACACTGCAAATTCTTTGTAATCGTAATCAGATTTTGAATTCTGCTTGTAAGGCACATCGTCTATTTCAAGGTGGATCTCTGAGTTTTGAGCTCCACGCTGCTGTGATTGAGTTTCATTAACTCTGTAGTATGATAGCAACAGCAGCATCTATCACGTTATCAGGAACCAAAACATCCTCATGCTTAAACAACAAAATAAGTTGTTTGCCAGGATCCTCTGAAACACATCATTATGAAAATAAACCCTCATATGAGCGTATGAGTTTCTGATCTGCTGCTGTGATGAAGGATTCAGTTCACGCAACTAAAAGTAATCAGTTAAGAAAACACTGCTGACTGTTAGTAGGACAACCCAGTCACCAAAATAAATGTTGGCATCATATGTTTCTTCAAACCAACAGCATGTGGTTGTTTGCTATTATTTGTTTGTTATGCTGCGGATACGTTTCAACAACGCTGTCAACAAGTGGACAGGCACAAAAAACACCTGGTTATGGTTCAGAAAAGATCATGCTTCAGATTAAATTACTAGGTTTTAGTGCCACAGTCACGGCTGCAAATGTCTCTGAGGTCTTGCTAAAACACTGAGGGCCGAATTCACAAAAGGATTGTGTGGCTTTTGTGGCCGCTAAACCAGTAAAAATGGAGCAAACAGATACCGTCTAATTCACAAAGCACGCGCAGAGGGTGAAATGCTCCACTAACTGCGCTGCCAAGCAGATTGCGTCTCGTGCTCCGGTGTTATCTGCACGTATTTAAATGAGGTATTATGCATATGCATAAAATTGCTCCTTTCTATGCAAATGAGCCTCACTGATAAACAACGTCTAATTCACTAACACCAGCGCTAATAGCCACACGCAGTTTGAGTGAAGTAAATAACGTCTTTAGAAAGCTGGTGCAAACTGGGCGCTCCTCTGTGGAAGCTTCTCGCCCAGACTTTCCAGTGATCGTGGCAGCAGTGATCGTCTGTTAAATCAGTCTGTAAATAATATTTGACATTATTATTATAATCATTATTACTTTAATGGCATCCGAAGATATTGATGCGTTGAACAGGTGACAGTCTGCGGTCGTTCTCAAAACGCACTTCTGTCACGCACTTCAAAAGCAACTTTCAATAATTTATTTTACGAAACGGGGGAAACAAACGTGAACAAAAACGGTTCCATAATTCATATTAAATTCAAAAGATAACGAAAAAACAGCTACAAGTGAGAGGGAATAGTGATAAAGTGGTCAAACTGGGTCAAATCCACAGCCTCAACCCATCCGACACTGTTAGACTGACTCACCAGCAGACATCACTACATGAGGGGATACAGTATTCAGTACTTTGCCAAACAAAGTCTGCCATTGTTCTGCCACGGTGTTCTTGGCGCAAGGCCAGCATTTATACTTTGCCATGTGGCTTACTGCAATCAGGGGCAAATCAGGGGCAAACTGCACTCAGCTGCCAAACTTTGTGGCCGTGTTTGCGCTGGTATATCATTAGCGCAATATCCTTTGTGAATAGGACGTTAAGACGGAACAAACTGCGGGTGCAAGTGAAGTGCAATTCAAGGTGCTATCAGCGGCTGCAGTTCATTCTTTGTGAATTCGGCCCTGAGTTTTGGTGGCGCCGTCTCAGCAGGAAATGCCCACATTTGGTGGCTAAAAAGCCGCTTGAAACACAGTGATGACTCGCTAAGAGACAACTGATTTGTTGTTGGTGTTGCACAGTGCTCTGCAGCTCGGCAGGTGCCTCTCCTGGGTGTCGCACCATCAACCATCCCCTCCACCTCCTGATGACAAAGTCAGCTCTTACACTACGTCACTTTGGAAACATTAAATGGAACATATCTGTTGTTTGCAGAAATGCACAACGCCAACATTTTCATGTGGCAGCTGGGCTGAGTAGGTCGTTGGATGCAGTGCTACCTTTCAAATCACGCCTCCCTTCCCTTCCCTCACCTCCCTCTCCCCCTCTCCTCCCCCTCTCTGACTCACCGGGAGCAGCCAGGTTCTGGATCTGGACAGGGACTTGGACGTTGGCCTCAGAGGCCAGCGTGAGACGGCCTCCTTTGCCGATGCGGTCACACATCAGGGTGATGTGCTTCTTGAGGCGGGCGGTGTCGCTGGGCAGGCCCAGCATGGGGCCTCCTGCCTGGGCCAGAGACGTGGCCTGGTCCTTGGGGCTCCGCGACAGGCAGCTCCGCAGGAGGTGGGAGACGGCGGCGTCGCAGCTCTCCTCCCAGCCCTGAGGAGACAGGAGGAGGAGTGAGGATACAGGAGATGGTTTATATGTAGAATGTAAAATGTAGAGGAACTTGGCAGTGACAGTCATGTCAATAAAATACAAAACAGCAGAGAGTTGTGTCACATCACAGAGTTTTTTTCTGGATTTCTTTCCTTATAAAAATCATTAATACAAAGTTGTATGTCATGAAAATACAAAAATTTTGAAAGAGAGGAGGAGACAAAGAGAAGAAACTAAAAGAGAAAAAGGGAGCTGGACAAGGGGCAGAGGAGAGGAGGGATCGATGAAAAAGGTCAGATGGGGCAAGAAGAGTATGAAGAAGGGAGGAGGGGAGGACAAGAGGAAGAAAAGACAAGAACAGCACAAGGAAAAGGGGAAGACATAGGCTGAAGGAAGTGAAGAGCAAAGAGGACAAAGAGAAGGAGGCTATGATGGCGATGAAGAGGAGGCAGAAGAGATTTACTGAACAATTATTGACCTTCAATCTTGATGCTTTAACGATGTTCTTGACATTTAGGAAAGAGCAACGAAATAATAAAACACGCTCAATTCAATCACACACACACACACACACACACACACACACACACACACACACACACACACACAGCTGTAATAAATGGCAGTTGAGGAGCAGAGAAACTTGTCTTCTGTCACTCTCTCTTCCCTTCTGTCGTTTGTACTTCAAACCACCGCTGGGTCAGAGAGTAACAGAATATATTTAACAGCGTTACGTATTTAAATACAAAATATTACAGTTTAAATTGGTGGTATTCTGAATTCAGTCACTGTCTTTAAAAATAAATTACTTGAAGGGATTACTTCATCAATTTTTGTTTTGTTTTAACACCGTGTCCTGAATGAATATAATGTGAGCGAGCGTCAGTTTGACTGAACTGTTTTCTGCTGGAACGTTCCAGCTTGCCGTCCTGTTTTTATTTACTCCTGTCGCTCTCTTTGAAAGCTCATGGCTGATCTTCTTTAACTGCAAAATCCTACATAAGGTGTCAGCTGGCTGGAGGGAGCAGCAGTTTGTGACTGGCGGGGTCAATAATTGATCTATCGATCCGTTCAGAGCAGATCAAGTTATTGGAGGAGAGGAGCAGCTGCTGCGAGTGAATGCAAACTGTTAGACCCAGCAGAATAAATGGTTAAGCTTGACTTTCAATGCGGCTGACGTCCTGAGGCTCCGTCCATGCAATGTGATGCTTTAAATAACTGAACGGCATATAAATTCCAACAGCGCTCCTGATGTACTGTCCAGCTCCAAAAATATAAAAAATCTATTTGCAGCCGCAGATCTTTTGTGGCGGGCTGCAACACATAAATTGGTATGTGGGAAACCCTGAAAGTGCATATTTAAAAGATTCAGTGTGGACAGAGATCGATGCAAGTTTGTAAGGAGAGAGTGAAATGCATATGAGGCGTTTCTCATTAACCAATTTTTAGAAAGTGTGTGCAGTGCAGCTGACATATGACAATGGTAGCCAGGACACTGATGTGTATTTTCAGCATGAAAATATCAGATCCAGACAGCTTAGCAAGATGATTTTAAAATATTCCAACAACTCGGTCTCAATCCAAAGTCGTCAAAATCGGGCGCTTGGTCAGTGACTTCCGGCATCAGACACTGATGAAAAAGAAGCCATCATTTCAGTTGGCGGCGTCAGGGGGGAATGAGACGGGACAAAAACAAATGTAAAGGCAGCAAAAGTCCAAATAGGGTGGACGGGTCAAACAACCACCAACTTTCCACCAGGGGGCTGGTGTTCACTTCCCTTGATTGTAACGCCAAACTCTGTTCTTTCTTCCTAAAGGTAATCACGTGTGTTTGTTGTTGAAGGAAGAAAAAAACCCTGCATTTTGAAAAAGCGGTAATTTGCGCTGTTGTACCAACATAATGCTTTTATTCTGAAAGAGACTGTATGCAAACTGTACATTTCCTGTGAAAACAGAAGTGTAGTTTGAAAACAGACAATGCATGTAACAGGCTGAAGTTGACACGGCGTCCCAGAACGTCAACAACCAACACACCCAGGGTACCTTGGACGTCATATGTGGACGTGGAAAGTCCATGACCAAACGTGGACATGTGACGAGGTCGCAGTGAGGACGGGTTGGTTCCAAAAGTAATCCAAAGTTTTTAGAATACTTTATTTAAGTAATCTATTGAAATACATTACAAATTACATTCTGCAGCATGTACTCAGTAACCTGTGGTGGAATTCCAACACTGTGCAAAGCCCTGAACCCATAACCAGCCTCAGTGAATGACTTTGGATGGGTGAGTCCGAGTGTGTGTGTGTGTGTGTGTGTGTGTGTGTGTGTGTGTGTGTGAGTGTGTGTTGACAGGCAGCCTCCCACTCTCCCCTCTTCGCCTCCCCCTCCCCCCTCCTCCCCCTGCCTGCCGCCATGCTGATAGGCCCCTAATGAGCCATAATGACAGGTAATCAACCCTGTAATGATGATGACAGAGAGACACAGACGGAGACAGAGAAAGAGACACAGAGAGAAAGACAGAGACCCAGAGAGACACAGAGACAGACGGAGAAAGAGAAAGAGAAAGAAGGAGGGCTGTAGAAGGTCGAGGAGATGAGATGATGATAAAGAGTAGGGCAGACAGAAAAAAAAAACGAGTGGAGAGACGACGGAGGAGCGGATATAAGAAAAGAGATGGCAGTGGTGGTGGTGGGGGTACTGGAAGGAGAGAAAATGAGAAGGAGGAGGAGGAGGAGGAGGATGAGGAGGAGGAGAGATGGGAGGAGGATGACCTATTCTTCCCACAATACCTCACCAGGTTATCAAATAGTTGGAACAACATAACTGCAGGTTTCTGTGGAAACTTGGCGCGCTCATGCACGTGGACACGCTGACACATACGTTCCACATGCTGCGGAGGAAAATTAAATGTCTTCAGACCTGAACTGCAGACATTCATCCTCCCGAACGAGAAGAAAGGAAGCAACGAAAGGTGGAGCAGAGCGGGTTTGGGCCGAGGCCAGAGCGATAAATTAAGACAAAGTTCCCACTAACTGCACATTTAATTTAATACTGAGCAAAGTTTGTTTTAGGAGTAAAAGGCTTGTTTTGTCAAGTTTTACCATGTGTTCAAAGAGCGAAGTTTCAAGTTCATTTCATTCATCAGGTGCTGAGAGTAAGTAATGAAGACAATGGCATATCATTACTGAGACACACAGCACACTTGGTATGACACACTGAACTTAAAGCTCTACTGTTCTGGTGATCTCTAATGGGAAGTTCTGGATCAGTTCTCAGTTAAACTCTTAACACATAATTGTACTTCATGCTGTTACTGTCTGTAACTGATCGACCTGAGTACCTTCACTGTTTCACTGTTGTCAGAAAGACATACACACCTAAAATGTTTCTTTCTCTTGTTAAGTCTGGTGAGTTTCTGGTCCTTTAACGGTCTACAAACCGCATCAGGAATATTGGGCTGGACATGAGGGAAATCCCAGGTGTGATTGCAACATTACTGGATGGCCGTGGATAAAATGTTCCCGGGCCCAGCACACAACCTTGGAGGACTCCCAAAGAGACGGGTAAAGGTTCAGACAGCAATCCCTCAGTCCTGACATCCTCATCCTGACTGGGAAAGTCATTTGAGAAGCCAGAGTTATGATTCTGTGAGAACAATGTTGTACAGTCAGTCTCCAGGGAGACAAAATCCTTCACACAATCACTTCCCTTTGACCAAATCAGCGGATTCCTTTTTCTGAAAAACGATCTGAAAAGCTGGATTTGGCACCGCTCAGCATTCAACGGTTACACTTTCTTTCACTGTCCAACTTCTGGGTATAATCAACTTTAAACACCACCAATTACTGTAAATGCTTACTTACAGACAATCACAAGTCTTAATACGCTCTAAAGAAACCAGTGATGTGAACGAACGGCAGCAGCATGGGAGGAGATGTAAAGTGCACTGTGGTGAGTTTAATTCAAAATATGAACAGGTTTAATAACCCCATTGTTCCACATCACTAATACTTTAAACATCTAGTTCAGCTTGTGCAATAATTATTAATTTTCTCAGAGGTCTGTGTTGTTAAATTTGACCAAAATGAAGCCAGCAGTGACTTTATGAAATTAAGTGTCACTGGTCTGAAACAGCTGATTCAGGATGTCCTTGGGGTGACAGTTCTTTCATTACATTATTAATATGCAGTGTAGTGTTTTATTCTCCGTATGGTTTAGTGCCAAAATGACCCAGAAGAGAGGGGATGAAGGCACATTGAGACAAAGATGGATGGGAAGGAGGACAGAGGGAATAAGGGTGGAATGCATCTGTTGAATCAACCCTCCTCCCATACAGAGACATTAATACTGGATATCCCTACAAAACCCCTGATTATGTTTGATGCCAATGTTTTTTTTGTTAAATCTTGCTTTCTGCAAATTCCAAACAAGACCTCATCCCTGCTCGTCATATTTTGCCATTTTGGCAGAAGCCCCGTCGTTATTATAATGACATTGTTGGCAGACGTTTGCTTTTGGAGATGCACGAAGGGTCAGCGGTCAGGTTTGGGCAGCAAAACTACTTGGTTATGGTTAGGAAAGGATTGTGGATATTATTAGAAAATACCCGGCTTTGGCAGCACAAACATGGCTGGAAAGGCAGTGGTGGGTCGCCAAAGAACAACTGTCTTTGAGTGACACAAACGCTGCACCGACATTGTCGTTTGTTTGCTTCAAACACGAGTCTCCAGGGTCAGAGTCATGTGCCTGTTGCCCAAGCAGTGTATTTTGACGCCCTGGAGGTGAGACCAGGCTGTTTCACAATATTTGTGCATGGTAACTATGGTATAGTGAAGGCTATGAAAAGACTGTGGTCATGCCGTATAACCACAGCAGAGCAACTGCAGCTGCTACACTGACCACGGAAGTTGCATTTGCCTGCGCAGACACCGCACTGCTCAACATTAATTGTACATGGCTGGTCTATTTTTCTTTCTCTGAGCTCGGCTCTACGTTTCACATTAAAATAAATCAATCGATGCATCTTGTTGTTAAAATAATCCAGTTAATTAATTCTGTACTAGTTAAAATAGTCTCTGCTTCCAAACCCTGCACAACCAACTGCACTATCACTTGGTAAAACTCTGTACACACACAGTGAAGCTGGCAGCAACCACACACTGCAGAGTCTGTATAGAAGGTAAATACCTGGCTTCGCTCCGCCTACGTGATGTGTCCCGTCGGTGCCCTGTGTATTTTGGCCGTGAGGCTCGGCTTCTAAAACACTCAGCAGGCATTCAGACTGATATCAACCCTGTGTTGTTGCATCATAAGACACAACAGACGCCAGAAACACAACAGAATGTTTTGTAAGACTCAGACAGCATTTTACAACTCTGGAACGTTACCATGATGGTGACTATTTTATTTTCTGTCACAACAATTGCAGGTCAACCACAGAAATACAGTGTAATCACCATGATATGTGAGCTTGCATGCATCTGATTGTCCAATGCAGAGTCTCGCCGGATGTGGTACTGACCCTGCTGTTTTTGGTCGAAGCCCTCTGTGTGGGCACCCCGCTGCCCTGCCAGACTGACTCCATCTAAATGAATGATGAGGGCTTCATGTTTTTCATGCAGAGCCACAGTCAGTCTGAACGCAGCCTTACAGGGACACAACTGTCCAATGAGGACATTATTTGGAACACTGGGCTGAGTCTGGAGGAAGTTCTTGTAAAGTTGGGTCATATGGAGCCAAACTGAGTTAAAAATCCATCTGATGTGTTTCATATAAAAACAACACCTGGTGAAACACAATACTGACCCTGTGTGGCTCCGAAAAAAATCCTTCAGTTCTGCCGACTACAGACGTTTCACTCTCTCTTCAATGGTTCTTTACATCACCGTAAAGCTCAGAGAACCGTCTGACTGTAAAGAACACTTTCTAAAAATGCTCTTTACAGCACTGTAGTGAGTTCTGCAGTGGCACAGGCCCAAAGAAACATTTTCAGGTACTGTACAGACATTTTTGGTTTCGGTACAGGAAGTCGGTGCGAGGCGGGCTGTACGGCTGCATGATGGATTCTGGTAAAGTAAACAGAGGGCGGGAGAACGGGGGGGTCACGCAAGAATAGCAGGCAGACAGACAGCGTCAGCAACTCTGTTCAAGAGCTGAGTGACAGATGGAAAAAGAGACAAAGAGGGACAGACAGAGGGACAAGGAACAAGGGAGGGAGGTTCACAAAAAGAGGAGGAAGAGGAGGAGGGAAAGGAGGAGAACAAGGGGGAGAAGAAGAGATACAGGGAGGTGAAAGTATACCGCAAAAGGGAGAGATTTAAATATGGTTAATGAGGGTGAGACAGAGAGGAGGATGGACAGCTCAGAGAGAAGGGAGACGACGAGACAAATGTAAAACAAGATAAGGCAAGAGAGGAGGAGAAGACAGGAAAGAAGTGCAGGAGCAGAGGTGAGGAAGAGAGGGGAGGAGTAAGAGGAGGGTGGAGCAGAAACAGATAAGAAGGCTGATGAAGAGGAGCGGTTAGAGAGAAAATTAAATAGAGAAGTGAAGAGCAGTAAGAGAAGCAGAGAAAGAGGAGGGTGGTGGGGTGGAGGAGGAGAAAGCAGGAGGAGGCAAGAAAGAGGAAGAGAGGTGCAAGGGGTGAGAGGTGAGAGGAAGAAGAGGAGGACCAGGAGGGAGGAGGTAGGGAGAAGGAATGCAAGACGAAGAGCAGGAGGAGGAAGAGGTGTTCTGGTTGGCTGCACCTAAATGAGACGTTTAGTTCGATGCCACACAGATGCATTTCCTCTACCACTCCTCCTCCTCCTCCTCCTCCTCTTCCCTCAGTCCACCTCTTTTAGCACAGACAGGAAGAATGTCTTCTCCTCTCTCTGCGCTCTGACCTCCTCCTTCTACACATTTCTGTGTTTCTCCTCCAGATAAGGAGTCGGGGGTGTATCCAGCTGCTGTCAGAGGAACTCCTCTCGTCTAAATCATGTTTCTGGATGAAAGAAAACCTGACCTTGTTTTCTGATGGACCGCTGCACATTTCTGAAATTTCTAAAGTTCTTTGTTGCTCAGCTGGATAATCACATAATCTGGGCTAATGTGACAGATGACATGTCGGTCTGAGTTCATGTGGTGTCCTGTTACGTGTCTCAGTGTTTCTGCGTTTCATGCAGAAGAGTTAAGAGTGTGTGAAAAATGGGACGTAGAGACAGGGGAGTGAAAACATGGAATTATGACTGCATGTACATTTGTTCTTCCTGATTTTAACCTGTGAGCCTGATTAAACGTGAACATGGGACACATGTCAGAGAACAATCTGAGGCCAACATTAGCATGATTTATGGTCAAAACTCTCAAAGTTCCACGTTATAATAAACCAGAGACCCTTTAATGAACAAAGTAAAAGAATAAAAAGTGCTGACAGGCTGATAAACGTGTGTCAGCCTCTCTCAGTGTGTAGTCATGGCTGTGTGTCGGACAGTGTTTCTGAAAATAGCTCATCAGAGCACCTGTTTGTTTTAATGTTGTGGACGTGACCCTGATTACTGATAATTCACCTAATGCCATTAATCCCATTTAAAATAACACAGACACACACACTGATGTACACTGTCCCCCGAGGCTCATCAACTGACCCTCTGAACCTATTCCTGTCTATGATCTGTGTGTGTGTGTGTGTGTGTGTGTGTGTGTGTGTGTGTGTACTGTAAAAAATATATTTTATGTGCTGTTGTTTATGAAGACGCAGATGTTTGTGTGTAAGTGTGTGTGCGGGGCTGGAAATAGACTTAGTGGTAATGAGAGATTCAGGGGATTGATCAGAGCTATGGAAAAACTCACTCCGACACACACACACACACACACACACACACACACACTCAGAGTCTCTATGGGGTGAGAAATCTTTCGTGGTCTGATTGCAGCAAATGGAGGAACTCTGTCAACACGTCAGTGCTGAGTCCCTGCAGCAAATACACACACACAACACAAACACACACACAAAGCTACAAATACACACACACACACACACACAAAGCTCACAGTGTGACTCAGAGGCTGATTAAAGAGCAACATGTCATCTGTTCACACTGAGGCCTATTGTGACCTTCACCCTCTTGTGTGTGTGTATTACTGTCTGTTCAAACACAGACAGGCGCGCGCACGCACACGCACACGCACACACACACACACACACACACACACACACACACACAGCTTTAATGCCTAACTCATAAACAGGTACCACAGAACACACTCTGTGCTGACAGGTGAGTGCTGAGTGGCAGAAAGTGAGTGTGTGTGTGTGTGTGTGTGTGTGTATTCCTCAGGGACCAGAAGTACTTAATGTATTTTAAAAGTTTTCAGAGTGTGTGTGTGTGTGTGTGTGTGTGTGTGTGTGTGTGTGTGTATTCCTCAGGGACCAGAAGTACTTAATGTATTTTAAAAGTTTTCAGAGTGTGTGTGTTTAAGCGGTGGCTGTGTTTACTGAGCCGGCTGCAGATGGATAGACAGACACTGACGTCTTAATGACCCCTGTGTGTGTGTGTGTGTGTGTGTGTGTGTGCACCAGCTGTGGTGTGTCCTGCAGCAGCGGCAACAGTGTGGCCTCCAGGATGGCCGTCTGGTCGGGGGTCAGGCCCTGCCACAGCGACAGCAGCAGCACCAGCAGGTGTGTGGCACTCCGCAGACGGACAAACGCCTCCTCCAGCAGTGCCCGGTTCTCCTCCGCAGCCTCCGCCAGTGCTATCACCTGGAAGAGGGAGGAGTCAGTGAGTGTCTGTTCTAATAACCACACAAGTCACCACCACAGTCAGGTGATAACAACGTGACCTGGAGGGTATAAGTTGAAAAAACACAGAACTCTCAGACGCAGTGTAAAACACATATAAAAATCAAATGCTGTGATCTGTGAACCTTTTAGGGACCTACATTTAACATAAATAAAGTACAAAGATATTCAATGTTAAAACTGATAAAATGTAAAGTTTTTGTAAATACACACTCATCCTGAATTAGATGCTGCAACATGTTCCATATAAAGTTGAGACAGGCGACAGAAGACTGGGAAAGTTGTGAGACGCACAAAAAACACCTGGAACATTCCACAGGTCAACAGGTAACAAAGTGAAGTATCATTATTAGGTATGAAAGGAGCCTCGTAAGGCTTTGTCATTCACAATCACTTTGTAAAAACCTGTGTCAGCAAACAGAACAACAGTTTAAGAACAACGCTTCTCAATGCAACTGCAAAGAGTTTATGGATATCACATCTACATCCCAAAATATCATTAAAAGATTCAGAGAATCTCCAGAAATTTCTGCCTGTAAGGGACAAGGCTGAAAACCAACACTGGATGCCTGTGACCTTTGACCCCTCAGGAAAGTAAAGTGCAAAGTGAAAGCTATACAGGGAATGAGTCCTCAGACCCAGAAATCGAGTTTGCACTTTATCACTCCCTGTTCCCTCGTCTCAAACTCAGTGGGTCTTTTGAATGGATTTTTGGTTAGATGCCTGAAATAAGGTCTGTGGTTAACACGAGCATTATGTGACACTGTAAATGTAACGATATCACCCATAATCTTGTTAGTGCCGCGTTATGTTACTTCGGTCCTGCTAAAATGTATATTCATGTCACCTCAACATTGTCTGTGCACACTTTGTCCATTGTTATACCATGCTGCCTGACTCTGGTCTGAATCTGTGACTTTTCTTCTTAGAAAATCACCAGTTTAATTTAGTAATAAGTATATTTTTGAAAAGAAGTAATATTTCGACAAAAAGGATTTACAAATCACTTCATTCTGTTTTTATTAACAATTTACAAAGTGTCCAAACTTTTTTTGACTCAGGGTCATACTTTAAAGAGAAATTGATAGCGAAAATGTAAAATCAAACTTGATTCAAACTTAAATATTGATCTAAACTGGGGAATCTGTAACTACATAATGTCACAACACAGTTGGAGGGCCCTGTTGTTCCTGAAAAAAACTGATGCCATCTTTTGACTCTGAGTATCAAAACTGAAAGCTCATTACGATCAACTTTTGATTTAGGATCAAAATTGTGACGCCCCGAGTGGATACCCTGGAGCACTGACATGAATCCTGTTCAAAACCACTCAGACTAAAGACAGTCTCCACTCGACAATATCACATGAACATTCTCAACAATTTTGCTCAGTGTTCACAGAACTGTAGATACTCTGACGTTCCCATCATTCTGAGAACTTCTCCTAAAAGTTGATCCTGACCTTGGTAACAAAAGTGAACAAACAATCTCCACTCCAGGAGCAGAATAAGTGCTGAAACTTGTTCATGAGAGGAGAATTACATCATATCAGGGAAGTAAAGATGCCAACTCATGGTGTTTTTAACACCTGGGGAAGTCCCTGTTCTGCAGAGGAAAGACGACAGCTGTTCTCTGCTCCTGTACATCTTTTTCTGAGAGTTTCAATAAGATGAAACAGGTGTTCTCAGCAGGAAGAATCAAGGATTAGAAGAACCTGAAGATGCAGCTCAATGTGTGACGTCGACCATCTTCATCCCTTAAAAATAAAGTGTGAGAATTCTGAGGAACTTTCCCTTGAGGACATTTCACTGATTAAAGACTCAAAGGAACGCTGCACATGTTCCCTCATTTCATAAGAACAAAGCGTTATTCACTAAACGTATTACAAACAAAATATGTTCCTGTGATACAAATCATGAATCATCTTCTGGTTCTCAGAGTCTGAGTCTTTACAACACACCCATTTATCCCAGAGGACTCAGTGTCGACTGCACAACCTGTGTAAACACTTTGATGAGCATCAAGTCTGCAGCTCCTCCATTACTGTCACAGTGCGCTCTGTCAGGTGTCTGATTTACTCTCAGTTACATTCGTCTGAATTCCCCCTGAAAAACTTCATCAAAAGATGATGTTCTTAAAACACGTCCAGTCACCAGAGACAGAACTTCAACACTAAAACCTCACGACTCCTTACACAGTTTGTGTCTTTCTTCAGTTGCTTTGCATCTCTCTGAAGTCTTTCTGTGTCTCTTCCTGGTCAGTACGTGTTCATGTGAGTGACATTTTGCAGGTGAAGCCCAGGGCGGCCCCTGTTACTTTGGGCCCCTGGTTGGCCCCTTCAGTAATCCATATATGGTTCAAGGATGTTTCTAGGATTCAAAGACATTCAGGGATTAACATGGATCTTTGTTGGGGGGTCTGGAGGATCGTCCTCTGGCACTTTTTTATTCTAAACAAGCTCTATCTGATGATTTTCAATGCACCCTGACACCTTATTTACATTCAAAGTACAACAAAGAATCCCAGTGTGAATAATTTTATCTTTATTGTGAATTGCAAAATGGTCGTACAGCCACATGGCATCCGGTCCCACGCCAGATTTGGCACCAGCATAAGAAAATACTTACAGTTTTGTTAGTTTAGAACCATAAAACTGTAAAAGAAATAAATAAAAGTTTTTTTTATTTTTGGTTTTTTTGGTGCTATGATAATTTAATGAATCTGAAAACTTCTCTCAGACCACACATTGAGAGTCACTGATCTAAACACCTTAATGTGGAGGTAAATCCAAAGACAACACACCTGAGACGTCCGTAACAACATGTCAATACATGAAAACTGTGCAGAGCTACAGTCAGCTGCTCAGCGTTAAACTCAGATGGATCTTCACAACATACAGTGTGGATTATTATTAACAGCCTGTTTGTGTTTTTTGGTTTGTGTGAGTACAGTTTTAAATATGTATAAATTATATTTACATATTCAGGCAAAACTACAAAATAAGACACGAGTTGTGATAAATGGAATCATTGTTTACAGCTGCATTTGTCTCGATTCATCACAGTTACAACTGATTCCACCTGATACTCAGAGTGACGTCATGTGTCAAACGTATGGGAACATCCGTACAAAGCTGCAGCATAATTCATCTCTCAGCTGCTGAGCCGTGTGCTCAGTGTGCTCTGAAAAATCCTAGCTCTGATAATAAATCAGTAAATATACTTCTAGAGGGGAAACTAAATGTCTGCAACAAACTCAGTACACAGCTCAGTGTCAGGGAGGTGCGTGAATTACGCTGCATGAGAGGAATGAGAAGTTTCTGTAGACATTTTTCATAACAACCTTTCAAGACAACAGGCTCTGAATATTTTTAATGAAGACTTTCTTCAAATTATCTTTTACACATTTTAACAATAAAATGTCCTTCTACCCATAATCCCTTTAGTTTTAGGGTTGTTTCCAGTAGTTTTAGGATTAAACAGGTCTGCTCAAACTGCACAGTGTCTCTCCTCAGGAGCTGCTGAGTCTTATTCTCAGGCTGTTCAGTTAAATTAGAGATTTGCTTCTTTTAAACAGAGAAAACAAACTGAACCAAAAGGACCAAACACCGGAGAGTTCAAATAAACGGCTCACTCCACACCGTGAGCTCTGAGGACTTCCCTTACATTGGTCGGCTTCCACTTACAAACTGCAGCATTTTCACGCTCTCACCGTGTGTTTTTCCAAAAATTGCAGAGTTGAGAAAGACGGAGGAGAGCAAACAGAAACTGAATACACGCTTTGAAATGAAAAGGAGGGAAAAAGCAGCACAAGTGGAGCTTAAGTTCTTCTGGTTTTTACTGAAGTTCACAGCTCACAGGGGTTTAACACAGAGCCAGTGAGGTGGGACCAGGTGAACTCTGACCTCCAGCCAGGGGTCAGTCCCTCCATCCCTCCATCATTACAACAACAGAGGAGTGGAGATGAGAGGAGCGGTGCGAACGAGTGATGACAGAGGGAGACGGATGGTGACGAGGAGAACAAGAAAGGACACGCCGGACGAAGAGGAGGAGGGAAACGGGAGATGAAGGAGGAGGAGGAAGAGAGATGAGCGGACGGAGAGAAAAAGAAGAGGTGAAAGCAGATCTGGGACTAATGGATGAGTGTGTGTTCAGATAAATGAGTGATGAGCAGGCCTGAGCGCCAACGTACGCCAGCAGTTTGTTTGACAAATGGATTCAGTGCTCGCCATCTGATACTGCGAAAACAGAGATGGAGGACTCTTAAGTGATGTGTGTGTGTGTGTGTGTGTGTGTGTGTGTCGGGGTTAAGCAGCAATTGCCAAAGTAAGCCTTTTTGATTTGTATAACACTAAACTACAAACATACAGGTATATGAGAACGAGTGCCTCCTCTTAGAGCCTCACACAAACAGTCGCAGCTGACACCCCAGTTCACTTCCTTTTGTTTCCGTGGTAACCTCAGTAAGTCCCCTGCTCTCAGACACGGCTGAGGTCATCTGTGGGTACCCTGTCACACATTAATCACTGAACCCATAATCCTTACAAATAAAGACTCTGCTTCTGTAACTGTGGGACACTCGTAGAGTTAAAGGGACAGTTCACCCCAGAATCAAAACTACATATCTTTCCTCTGACCTGCTGAGCTGTTTATCAGTCTGGATAGTTTTGGTGTGAGCTTCCTTCTCTCCAGTATTGTGGACCTTCTGCACAGTGATACAGTGGCAGGTGTAGTTTGGAGAAAGAAAATAGTTCCTACATGAAACTGTTGACAATAAACTCTGTGGATTATCTTGAGGAACCGGGTCATGATTTCTGGAAAGACACATTCTGCTGAGTTTTTCAAATGTACTTTTTTGGTGCTTTGAGCACCACAGGCCGAGTGCCTTCTTGTTCCATTATATTGGAGAGAGGGCAGACATCTCTGTGGCTGATATCTCCAACACTCACACCAAACCTATCT